TTCTGGTGTGAGGAGTTGGAAGTTTAATTTTAAGAAACCATCTGTAAAATCAACACAGAGGAGATTTCAAACTCTTTAGGTGTTTTCTATTTGAGAAATAAAAATACGAAATATTTAAATCTTTAACAGATTTAAGCTTAAGGGTGGATAGAGATTAAAAAAAGTGAGAAAGGATAAAACATTTATTTAAAAGCAGGGGTATGCCCAATTCACAGAGATACCCTTTACACACGATAAGTGCATAATTTTGGCAATTGTTTTTTTGGTCACTTTATACAGAAACCACAAATAAAAATAATCAACCAATCTTTATTTGATCAAAAATGTGGAAGATATCGTTGGTTTTCTAACATAAAAAGTATTTAACTGCAACAATTAAAGAGCTGTTGATTCCTTAGTCACTTTTTAGAGAAGCCACAATTTAAAAAGATCAACTTTCCAAGAGAAAATTATTAATATCTCATGCATTCTTGATCTATGAAAGGTTTCAATGGTAACGTTGTAAATCTAACATTCCACTCTATAAATGAAGGAGATTGACCTCAAAATACGTCTATAGTCCCTTTAATAGAAAAATATTGAAAGGAAAATTTTAAAAACGCTTTAATGGTAAATTAAGGATTTAGTTTGCAATTTATTTTTGATTGTTTAATTATCAGATTCAATAATTTATAATGTATAGTGTATCAAAACCAATTTTACGGACGCTGCCCATTATTTTCTAAATTATTGGCTGAAAACTAAACTTCCTTAGAAAAAAACAGGAATATTCAGACGGTTGTCTTCTTGAAAATACAACTTTAAACAATTTAATTTTCGTGGACACATTTTTGTTTAAAGTAATTTAAAGAACTTTAATAAACTGGCGTTCATTTTATTAGCGATTTTGAAAAGAAAAAAGAATAGTTATTTCCAAAAACTCTTATTTGCTAATCCTTAAATATCTTAGCAACTCTCCATATCTTAGACTTTACATATTTCAAATTATAAATTTAGTTAAATAATATACTTTTAGTCTGAAAATCAAAGGTTTACATCTTCAGGTTGCAAAGATATGTGGATTAAAAATTTGAGTTTGTGGCAACAACTCAGTTACTTTGTTTAATGATTTATTTTGCTCCGAACTAATAACTGATTGATAATACTTCTAAAATGATACAAGTTTTTAAATTTGGAACATTTTAATAGATAATAAATAAATTTCCAAATTAACTGTTTTCTGAAAATAGTTGACCTTTTGCATTGATTGATTAAATGATGAACTAACTAGCTGATTGAAAGACTAATTGATTTATAAAATAAATTGTTTGATTGTATTGCTAATTGACTGATTGATTGACTGGATGATTTAACTTGAATAAGATTTGATTGAGCAATTAATTAGTTGAATTAAATGATAGAGTGAGTGATTAAGTAACTGATTGATTGAATAAATATTTCAATGATTTAATTGATTGAGTGACTTATTGACTGATTAATTGGTTGAACTACCTGTCTCTGAGTATTCTAATGGTTCTAGGCTCCATACAGTTGACCGACCATCCTGTTTCACCTTCCCTGAATATTCAACACAGTTAAAGGGACAGTTTCCTGCATATTCAACACAGCTAAAGGGACAAATTCCTGAATATTCAACACAGTTAAAGGAACAGTTTCCTGAATATTCAACACAGTTAAAGAAACAGTTTCCTGCATATTCAACACAGCTAAAGGGACAGTTTCCTGAATATTCAACACAGTTAAAGGAACAGTTTCCTGAATATTCAACACAGTTAAAGGGACAGTTTCCTGAATATTCAACACAGTTAAAGGGACAGTTTCCTGAATATTCAACACAGTTAAAGGGACAGTTTTCTGCATATTCAACACAGTTAAAGGGAAATTTTCCTGAATATTCAACAGAGTTAAAGGGACAGTTTCCTAAATATTCAACACAGTTAAAGGGACAGTTTCCTGAATATTCAACACAGTTAAAGGAACAGTTTCCTGAATATTCAACATAGCTAAAGGGACAGTTTCCTGAATATTCAACATAGTTAAAGGGACAGTTTCCTGCATATTCAACACAGTTAAAGAGACAGTTTCCTGCATATTAAACACAGTTAAAGGGACAGTTTCCCGAATATTCCACACTGTTAAAGGGACAGTTTCCTGAATATTCAACACAGTTAAAGGGACAGTTTCCTACATATTTAACACATTTAAAGAGACAGTTTCCTGAATATTCAACACAGTTAAAGAGACAGTTTCCTGAATATTCAACACAGTTAAAGGGACAGTTTCCTGCATATTCAACACAGTTAAAGAGACAGTTTCCTGCATATTCAACACAGTTAAAGAGACAGTTTCCTGCATATTCAACACAGTTAAAGGGACAGTTTCCTGAATATTCAACACAGTTAAATGGACAGTTTCCTGAATATTCAACACAGTTAAAGGGACAGTTTCCTGAATATTCAACACAGTTAAAGGGACAGTTTCATGCATATTCAACACAGTTAAAGAGACAGTTTCCTGCATATTCAACACAGTTAAAGAGACATTTTCCTGAATACTCAACACACTTAAAGAGACAGTTTCCTGAATATTCAACACAGTTAAAGGGACAGCTCTATGAATAATGAACAAAAGTAAAAGGATTGTTTTAAAAATCAATCTGACTCTCTTTTACTGAATAGTCAAGCAATTGCAAAAGTTTGTAATTCAGTTTGACCTTTTAAACCCGAATTTAAGATTTATGCGACAAAGCTGAGTTAGAAAATTACCGAGATTATTCTTCTGAGCTTAGTCGTACACATTAAACGTATAATATATATTAAAGTCGTAAACATCAGCAAAGATACTGAAAAAGATACACAATTTGTTTACTTTGATTTGCTTCATCTTTGTATTTGAATTGATAAGTTTCAGACCAAACAATTCTAAAATGGGAAGTATTTATCAAATTTTAGAATCATTTAAAGTGAAACATATAATAGATTTTAATTAAACTAAATAAACTTAAAACACAGAAACTGTATTAACAATAATTTGAGTAAATAAGAAAGTAAAAAAGTTCACATATGTTTATTTATTGTATATTGTATATTGTATATTGAATATTGTATATTGTATAATGAATATTGTATATTGAATATTGTATATTGTATATTGAATATTGTATATTGTATATTGAATATTGTATATTGTATATTGAATATTGTATATTGAATATTGTATATTATATATTGTATATTGAATATTGTATACCTGTTGCATGTAGATATTGAGAATCTACCATAGTTAGCTCTGACTAGATGTATTGTAGTTCCCAGTTCACATTGTATATTCAGTTCTCCTCCTTCACATCCATACTCAGTTCGTCGTTGAACCCCTAGAATATAAAATTCACACTTTAGTGATTGTAAATCTGATCAGGTGCAGCCTTTACAGCGTTCACCACTTGCAGTGCTAAGCCAACTATATTGACCCATGCCGTATGTTTACCAGTGTAGTTGGTGTACCAGGAGGGGCAGTACAAGCTAGGACCGTAAAGGTCTAGGTTAGTTCAGCTCAGATTCATTTCAAATGTACATAAGATGAGTGTGAATATTAACATTAGAATGTATAACAAAAAAGGAATTGTGTTCTTTCTATGTGTTAAGACGACATGTCCAGACGGCTGAATCAATTAACAATTTGAAATCACGGATTTTTTAATTATTATGATTGCGATTCCAATATACTACAGAATTATGTATCTATTAAAACATATAATAATGTATTATTTTTTATTTTTTTCATTGTGTTCATTTGAAACTAGTGAATCGAAAACAGGAAAATTTAAGTTTTTATGTGAAAATATTATTGTTTTTTTACTCTTTTATAGTGTAGGCCAATATCCTTGGGCAAATGTAGAATTAGGCTGGGTCCATTAGCTCTAAGAGGATTACTTACTTCTCTAGGTATAGAATATATACAGACCAATCAACCAATCAACCAATTGAGAGAAATAATGAGAAGGTTTTATAAAAACGTCAAACTTTTGTGAAGTAAAAAAGTTATTGAAAATAAGATCGAAAGAAAACAAAGAACAAAGAAGGCAAACAGAGACTTTTAAAAAGAATATATTTTAAAATATTAACTTCATGAAGAAATGTTTTTTTAATACATTGGTAGGCGGTTTTATCATTATAATGAAGACGACTTTTGATTCTAATTTTGATTTATATCAAGCTTTTAAACAGCATGTATACAGAAAAACATGGAAACAGAGAGAAACTGTTAATTAAGGAAAGCTTCTCTTTAATTATTTGTAAACTTGTAATTCGAAAAAAGCTTGTTAACAATTAAAACTTAAATGTAACAGTCGTCTTTATTATATAGATATAATCGCCTAGCACCGTATATATATATTTTGGGAACTAAAAGATAAATGGCAAAATGAAAAGAGAGCAGGACGGGGGGGGGGGGTTGTGGGAGGGGGGGAGCAATTTCTTTGTTGTCGTTTCCCCTCCGATAAATACATAATATTTTTGTATTCAGATTCAGCCAAGAAATAGGATTATCATAAGCTCAGCTTTATAAATAAAAATAAAAAATATTCACCTACAAAATGTTCAGAAAAAAATAGCAATAAGCGAAAGAAATGCAAATTAGATATTTAAATTCAATGTATAAAACAGGAAGATTAAAAATAGAATATTTTTTGAACCAAAATAACACTTTTCATTCCCTTGGAACAAACTTAGCTGTGTCTATAATGTAAACATAGTTCAAACAAAAAAGGTTTAACTAAAAAAAAAATTTGAATTGCAATGATAAGGAACTGTAGACGTAATTTCAAGTGCCCTATCTGATTCACAACAGTGCACTTATCAAAGGTTCTGTCTGATCAAGAATGTATAAGATAACAATTATCTTCTTTTTGAAAGTTGACTATTATTAATTGTGGTTTCTCTATAAAATTACTTATACTAACGCATCGGAAGAAAATCAGGTCAGGGTTCAAAGGGTACCACTGTGCTTCGGACATTCCCCTCTTTAAACGAAAGTTCACATGAATTTTCAAGGACAGTCCCTTTAAATAAAATAAATGGTTGCAAATATTGGCCTGTAAAGAATTAGGTGAACAATTGGTTGTATTGTGATTGTGAATGGGTTGCACAAATATATTGAACAATTTCTTGCTCTAAGTGCAAGAGTGTTCCAAAAATTTGAGAGTTTTAAACATTTTTGTACTTCAAGGTTCTCGAACTATCAATGGTGTAAACTTCATTGCAAAATGTTCACAATTCATTATTTTTCAACTTTAAAATATTTTTGAACGCCATGTATTGTATAAGGATTGAAAATATTAAGGAAAGAAGCGAGGTAAAAAGTTAGGTCTCTACACTTTCATTAGTTATACAATCTTTTACCCCTTTTTAAAGGAGCTAAGGGGCTTTAAAAAATAGGAAAGAATAACAGAATAAGGAGGGGGGGGGGTTTTACAAGATTTTTAAAAACTACATAAGATAGACGGCAGAATTTAGCTCTATATTTCTTTTATAAAATACATTTAAGTCTCTCCGTTCTTGAGAATTGTTACTGTTCATGATATTCAAGATAATTTCAATAAGCATTAATTTCACTTTACGTTTTAAGTAGTGTAAAGTTAATTTAAAATACCAATTTAAAAGTCATATTTGAATATTATGCAGTTTAAATTTATTATTTAAAAAATTGTCACAATATATATAAATATAAAATTAAGAATGGGTTATTTAATGATAATACACCATACACCATACACATTATTAATAATTAGTTTGATAGAGAAATATAATTTACACCATCTATCTCATGAATTTTGCGTCACAAATAAATACACAAATTGCGTCAAGAGAAAAGAATACGATGAGAAAGAATTCCAGAAGACAAGCGTAAATATGGAATTTTCATAAGAAATCACTTTTCATTGTTTAAATTCATCAATCTATGTATATCTACTACTTACTCGTTTTTAAACCGATTATCTTAAAGCTGCTTAACTTTAAAAATTAATTTTTTTTTGCTTATTGAATGGTTGAAAAAAACTGTTTAAAAATTATCTGCAAAAAACCCCAAAAATGAAATTGCAAACATGTGTATCATGCCTTATTGATCTGTAATACAAAATTGTTTAAACATTTTACAGCGTACTTTTGGCAATTTTTTTTGTTAACTATTTATTATTTTAATATTGAAATTATTGAACTATTGAAATTGAAAGTCTAAATTTTGATTAAGAAATTATAGTAAACATCTTAGCTTAATTGTAGATAGATAGATAGATAGATAGATAGATAAAGTTTATTGCTAAAATATATGTGTTTACAGAACGAGTTTACAATTACTAATTGATGATTATTTTAACAGTACAAGTATAAAGCAATTAGGTGAAAAATAGCTCTTCCCTGTTTTCATTATGTTTCCCACCTAACTTCAATTAATGATAGCAAAACATTTCAATTAAATATATATTTAAGAGGAGTACTATTAGACCTTTTTTATGGGTACAAAGGGGGGGGGGTATTGATTCAGATATCAAGACTTGTTTATACAAGAATTATCTAATGTTGCAAATATGTTCTAGGATAGGGCGTGTCTCTGTAAACTCCCAAATCTAGGTTTGACCATCTGTAGCCTGCCCATATCTATATATGGAGATAAAAGGTTAAGATAAAATCCAACCCTTTAACACTTTAAACCTAATCATAATATTCGTAATAAGCATTTTCAAAATTATATTTGACCTCCCAGGGTTGAAGGCAGCTGTGAAGCCTTTATGTTGCTCATCTATCGATATTGGCCTCATCAAAGGCGCCGACACAGATTCTATGAAATGCAGAAAATCCGCCTTGCAATTTAGACAGGAAGAACCTGGACACAAGTCACAACAGAATTTTGGTCAGAATTCATGCTTTTTAGTAATTCTTAGAATATACTAAACCAATTGCACCAAATTCTTAGAATATACTAAACCAATTACACCAAATCCTTAGAATATACTAAACCAATTACACCAAATTCTTAGAATATACTAAACCGATTACACCAAATTCTTAAAAGATTTTTCAATTATTTCAAGAAAAGTGTGTAAAAATAATAATTAATGATAAAAGGATTGATATAGAAACTAACTTTTCAAGATATAATGATTTCTTTTCAATGTAACTCTTTTCTCAGAATTCGGACTTTGACCTTTTAGGACGATGATTTATTTTGTAATTTTGGTGGCACGGTCCAACATGGCTTTTTACATAGTTTAACGAGTTTGACAGGAATTTGAAAAATGATGTTTATATCCTGGATACAAGGGTGTTTACTGCATACAGGGGAGTTTCCTGAATACAGGTGGGTTTCCTGGATACAAGGGTGTTTCCTGGATACAAGTGTGTTTCCTGGACACAGGGGGGTTTTCTGGATCCCAGGCTAGTTTCCTGGACCCTTGGTTGGTTTCCTAGATCCTAGGCTAGTATCATGGACCCCAGGCTGGTTTCCTGGAGTCCTGACTGGTTTCCTGGATCCCTGGTTGGCTTCCTGGATCCCTGGTTGGCTTCCTGGATCCCACGCTGGTTTCCAGGATCCTAGACTAGTTTTCTGAATCCCAGGCTGGTTTCCTGGATCCTAGGATAGTTTCCTGGATCCCAGGCTAGTTTCCTGAATCCCAGGCTGGTTTCCTGGATACCTGACTGGTTTCCTGGATCCTAGGCTAGTTTCCTGGATCCTAGGCTAGTTTCCTGGATCCTAGGCTAGTTTCCTGGATCCTAGTTTATGGTTTATATAAAAGCCTCGTAACTTGCATATTTTCAATCAAAGTGTCCATTCAAGAACTCTGCACACCTTAGATACAATCAGAAAGATACAGTTAACAACAAGAGATGTATGGGGTAGAATGGTGAACAAGTTTGTTTTAAACGCCAACCTTTTTTTTACTTTACTGGTCAGTTGATCCTAGTTTTTAACCTTTGGTTTTGTTAAATATTACTGTCTCTTGAAAATTAAGAAGTTTCAAGGTGAAGCAAAACAAGAAAAAACTACTGGGATATTTAGTGCATATGTGCCCAGAGGGGGGGGGGGTAGGATGTGCTGAGGGGGAGAGGGGAGGGGTTAGTTAATGTTTTTTATGCATTTATTTACAGATTAAATGCTGCAACCAAAAATATCTGGTTACTGTGCACTGACCTTAAAAAAGCTCTTAAAAATTAATAACAATGCATCAGAATAATTAAGCCCCAAGCCTATTTAAAACTTTATAAAGTACTAGCTTCGGAGCCAAGATTTGCCTGGAAACTTTAGTCAACAAACTTGATTTAGAATTGTTTAACCAAGCTAATAATATTCCCGTGGTTCTACTGAGTTCCAAAATTA